TTTAGGAATTTAGGGGTTTGGGGTTTAGGGTTCGGGGTCTAGGCCTTAGGGTTTAGGGTTTAGGGTTTAGGGGTTTAGGGCTTTGGGGTTTAGGCTTTGGGGTTTAGGGTTTAGGGGTTAAGGGGTTAGGGGTTTAGGGGTTTAGGGTTTAGGGTTTAGGGTTTGGGGTTTGGGGGTTTAGGGGGTTTAGGGGGTTTAGGGTTTAGGGGTTTAGGGCTTAGGGCCTGCATTCCGCTTCTCGGCTCGGGGACTACAGTACCGTCTGACTAGAGAGCCGGTGTAGGTTATTGTTCGTTGCTTAGGGTTTTAGGGTTCTGGGCTTTTGCAGCTTCAGGGTTTAGAGTGTAGATGCCTAAACAAGATCTGCGTTTTCAGCATTCGGGAACCAGGGTGGAAGGTACCACGGGTAGGGGTCGATCGGGGGAGGACAAGGCATAAACGCCTCCTTCGGGCTTAGAGATTAGGGTTTAGGGAGTTTGGGGTATGACATCCCTGAAAGATGGGGGACTGACAGGGGTCTGAAACCCTAAACCCAAAACCCTAAACCCCCTTAAGTTCCCAAGTCTTTGTAAGACTTCCTACGGTTCTTTTGAGATTCCCCCAGCCCTCCATGCTCGAACCACCCGCCTGTAAGGATCCGACAAAGGAACTAATATAGGGGCCGTAATGAATAGAATAGGGTTTTGGGGGCCGCTATACTACAAATAATAATATAATAAGGAACCCTCCAAGTAATATAGGTAATTATTAAAGTCCCTATGTTAGACGAACTGCCTTTTTAAAGTCTTTTTAAAAAGCCTCAAGAAGTAGTAGGCTAGAATTCTTCCTTCAGAATCCTTTTTTGAACTGCCTCATGGGCCTGCCTAACTTTAATTTAAAGACGGATCGAACCGTAACGCAACCAAAGGTCCGCGCAGAACGGTTCCGCTTTCCTGCTGGCTTTTAACCGCATCTCCAGGAAGGCTTGCGTGTGGAGTTTGGGGTTTGGGGTTTAGGGTGTGGGGTTTAGGGTTTAGGGTGTAGGGTTTAGGATTTTAGATTAGCACGCTCATCTGCCTAGTTGTGTGGGATTTGGGGCTCGTGGACCGACCTCTCCGAACAGCCCTACCACCTCCAGAATCAAACAGACCCAAACCGACATCCGAACTCATAAGCAAACAACCAAACCAAGTGATGCAGCTGTTCCTCTATGCGGATCCTAAGCTCCCTTTGGGTTTAGGGTTCCCTAAACCCTGAACCCGACATCGCGGCGTTTAGGTGCGACCGAGGGGCTGGGAGGACAGCCTTTGCCTCTGTGTCCTGGCTCACATGCGAGATTCCGAGCTTCGGCTACTTAGCAATATTAATATTAGTACTAATAATGATTTGAATATTACTACTGTTGCTAATGTTATTGGACATTACATGGATATATTATTGTTCTCAGTAGTATTACTACTATTCGTCTTAGTTTTATTAAAGAGCAGAGGAAGCTATCCAATAAGTTCTCTTCCCTTTTCCCAAAAAATCCAAAAATCCAGAATAAAATCCCTAAGCCGACTCTCAGGCACCACTGCAGCCTGACTGCCTGACTGCCTGGACTCTTACTCGCCAGCTGCCAGAGCTGAATCCCGGGCATGGACAACACAAGGGTAGTTTTCCGAATTAGGGTCCCTTTTATCAGGGTCCTTTTTGATAAGGTGCTGTATTATATTAAGGGACCTAAAATAAAAAGGATTCCTAATTTAGAGAGCCACCCGCATGACGGGGCACCTGCGCCCCCTCCAATAGGTCCTAGGTACCAGTAGGATAGCAGCAGAAGCTGAGGTCTTGTAGACTCTGTTTTCCGGAGCTAGATTGCTCCAGTAGTCAGTAAGACAAAATGTGCCAAATCTTACGCAGCCCACACCCGGCACGCCCGGTCCAAGATGCTAAAACAGACATTTACCCTGAGCAACTCCTCCGAAAATCAAGCAGCAGTGTTCAATGAACACAAATCTCCGAGTCCCACACTCGTACATATGTTATATATATATATATATAGTATAAAGATATAAAACTTAGAATCTACGACATATTAAAGCACAATATACTGTCTATTTCACGCACCCAACCGGAATCCACCGCCCAGGTCCCGGAAGTGCCTCGCGGTGGCCACCTGGGCTGACGACGGCGGTTCAGGTGCAGGCATGTGGAAATTGTGTAATTACAAGGCTTAGGGTTTAGGGATTTAGGGTTTTAGGGTTTTAGGGGTTTAGGGTTTAGGGTTTAGATTTAGGGTTTAGGGTTTGGTTTCAGCACTCACAGCCGGGACAGGCCTGGCGAGGTTGGGGTTTCAGCACTCAGGGACGAGCCTGGCGAGGTTCCAAGTACCTCGCTCTGGCCAATGAGGTTGGGGTTTAGGGTGTGGGGGTTTCTGGGGGTTTGTCCCCAAGGGTGCGTAGAGCACCAAAGTTTCTGACATGCAAAAACCCTACAGTAGAAGGGGACCCTAATGAGAATGAGCATATCTGAACTTCATCGACAATCAGTGGGGGGCTACAGACTACATCGCGATGAATCTTAAACCCCTTTTTCCTAAACCCCAGACTCCGAAAGTTCCTACACCTGAAAGGCTTACAGTAGGGTTTAGGGTTTAGGGCTTTAGGGTTTAGGGTTCCAAAGGACGTTCGCAGTAAAGCCTGTGGTGCCCAGCCGTCGGAGCGTGGTGTCGGTAAAGCTCCGGAGTCGCGCCTCGCAACTGATTTCCGGGCGGATTGAACACGTGCAATGCAGACCAGGTTCTCTAAAAGGGCGCGATATTGACATCCCATGGGTCTGTATTCAAACTACCGCTGCTGGTGGAGAAGGGGGCGCCACATGTCATTGCTTCAGCTGTGTTCCGACTCGAAGCCCAGCTCTCTGTGGATGTTCCCGAAACCGGAGGCCTTAAATGCCATCGAAGCCTCAAGTCCCTACCTGAAAGAATTGCACAGGCTTTAAAACCAAAGCTTTGAACCTCCAGCTTGCCAGCAGTCTTCCCTAAACCCTAAACCCCTAAACCCTGAGACCTAAACCCTAAACCTCTGAACCCTAAACCCTGACACCCTGATCACCTGGCAGCCGTCTGGCCCTGGCATTCTGAGAGACGCTTCTCCGTTCATGTGAATGCCTTGTCCGGTATTTAGGCCGGTCTGGCCGAGAAGCTGGGTTTAGGGTTTAGGGTTTTGGGTTTAGGGGTTTAGGGTTTAGAGTTTTGGGTTTCAGCCCTTTTCCAATCCTAAGCCGGGTTCAAGATCCGTTGGCCAAGTCAAGGATAACCCGTCGATGCTATGCAATCTCTGGCATCCCCGGTCCAGCCTGCGAGAAGGCAACGGGGGCCTCGGGGCATCATATCCGTGGGCGGCTCGGAATGGTTTCGATATCCAACTTCGGGCTCCCATTCGAACTAGCCTGATCTTCCTGGCTTCGCAGCCGGCTGAAGTGAAGCACTCGAATTGGCAGATGGGTCTGTCGAAGCACGAACTCTCCACAACCTTAGTGTAAGCCGAAACCCTGACCCGCCAAGACACTAAGCCAGGTACTTGGAGGATCATGGGACTTAGTAAGTAAGGTTATAAGTCCCTTAATTGGGGTTATAAGTAAATATAAGTATAGTTACCTTAATTATAACCCTACTTAAGTACGGGCTTAATCGAAGAGCCATCCCCTTTGCCTCTCAGGCCCCTCTCGCCCTCAAACGCCAAGGCAGAAATACAGGACCAGCTCGCTCAAAAAACATCGTCACTGCAAGTGCTCGGTTGTCGACTCTTTGTAAGCACCTTTTTGTTCGCCATTGTCAGTTGCCTCTCTCGGTATGATGGTGAGACAGTAGCGCTTCGGGGGCTTAACAAGCGGTTGTCTGTGCATTCCAAACATGTATTGGCGTTGCCTGTGTGAGTTGGCATAAAGGACAGGGACATGTACGATTCCCCTAGGAACGTCGAGGTGTGAAATGCCCAGTGTCGCCTCTAGGTTCCCCTACTCTCGTTATGCCAGAACGGACAGTCTGCGTGCAAGCTGGCTGGAGGCTTACTTGACACAATGGGTCTTGCTTTGGAGTCTGCAGTGACTTGTTTTTGAGTGCATCTTCCTACATAGTTCAACATTGGCTTCCTCAACGTATACCACGGCGTTCACAGAAGAACGTTCCTCCCGGTTGAACATCTATACCGGCTACAAAAGACACGTAAGAACTGGCATGTAAGCTGCCGAAGCTCAGCGGGGCATGGGGGCCCCCTAAGGATTTTCCAAGAGAGAGTATTGTGTCTACCTATAGTCTCCATTGTAGTTCCTTTTTGGGGTTATCTTATAGGATCCTAAATATTCGAATTGGTTAAACCAAAAAAAGGAACTACAATGGAGGCTATAGGTACTTCTCGATCGTCACCGGCGTGGCACACTTGCTCAATACACCTTCTCGCCGAAAACGGGCTTCACCTTGTGCGGAAAATCTGGCCTGGCAGCAGAAGAAAAGCGGCCAAGACTCTTCAACTTCCAACTGCCACGCCCATGGCATTTGCCCAAAGGCTCCCAAGGAGAATCAAACCGCCAACGATCAAGCTCAACAGCGAAACCAACAGGTTCGCCAGGTCCGTTCCACAAAGCCTTGAGCCGCTGATGCTTGGACGAAGCCTCAAGTCGACGATCGCCGGCAAGATGTAGATGATCATGCTAGCACAAATTCCGGACACGATGCCCAGAACCGTGGCCAGGGAGATATCTGGCAGCGCTGCGGCGGTGGCCCCGAAGACCAAGACCAATGCCAGACTTGAGTTGGAGCCTGCAAGAGAAGGGCGTGCATCTTGAATGGTCTTCCGAGCCACGAAAAATCGAAGGGGCAGCGCCAGGGTGAGTTGTAGACACAAAGCAACCTTGGCGCCGCGAACCATCCAGGAGTCGGCGTAGTCCTGGCCCAAGGAGTCCATGATGTTCGGCTTGACATCCTTACCGAACCTGCAATAGCCACTGGCCGCCAGCGTCATATAGTTCAGGAGGATCAGGAGGTTGCTCCAGATGATAAGGCTTGTTGTGCGGCTTTTGTCTGACAATGTGCACAACACGGGGATGTAGGCCCAACTTGAATTCAGCGAGAAAGAGATAAGCGGAAGTGCTGCCGCTACATCAAGAAGACTGGGCTCATGAGACGAGCTGCAGAGCTGCAAGCCTTGCTCCGTCAAGTCAGGTGGAGACACAAAGACCGTGACGATGGTGATCAGGACGGCAACAACACATCCAAGCCAGGAGAACTTCTTCAGAAATGTCAGATCTTCACACGAACTCAAGCGCCATAGAAAGCAGGCGATGCCGCATAGAACTGCTCTTCCATAGGAAGGAAAGAAGGCGACGAATTCTGCCTTCAAGATCACCAAGAATGCCACCGCGCCACCCCAGGCATAGAATACAAGCAGAAACTGGCAAAGGCGGGAACCGGACCCACCCAAGACCCGGATCACGAGTTGAGAGTAGGACTCTAGGCAGCCTTGTGGAGCGAAGTGCAGCTCGTAGTAGGAGAGAGTTTTCAAGGAGTGCATTGAAAGCAAGGTGAACACCACCAACGAGATAGCACCATGCCAAAGACCGCCCAACTTGTGAACAGCATAGGGCAGTGTCAGCTGCCCTGCGCCGAGAACAGCCAGCAAGACGTTGAGGATGCATCTCGACACATCGGTGCTCCCCACGTGTGCATCTCCATAACGTCCAATTTGCCCCGCGTTCAGACAATCCTCACTACTCTGGCTGTGCTTGCGAGCGACACTGGCAGGTGTCAGCAAAGCGGCGGAGTCCACTGTCATGGTGCGATTGCGACAGACCAGGATGGGACTGTACCTGTTACCTGTCTGCTAGTTCCTTGATCGATCGGGAGGAAGCAACTCCACCGTAAGACCGGGTTTACAAGTCCAGGTAAGTGGGCTAAGGGGTCTTGGGCTTTGGGATGTAGGGACTTTGAACCCCCATTGAACCCCTTAAACCTAAAACTTCGCAGATCCTCCTGCTACCTCAAATGCGGCCGTCTGATGTGTTTTTGTGTAGTGTACCAGCGAAATGCACCTGGGCAACTTCGCACGGACAGAATCGGGTCCTCAATCTGCAGCTACCGAGAGCTCAATGGTTGATGCGCTGAGCTCACGGTAGCTGCGCCCAAGCGAGAAAATGCAGCTGCAGAGTCAGAAAACGATGGTCACCCGGCAACTGTAAAGCAAAATTATATGCTCTTTGGGCTTTAATGCTGGCATGTCGGGTTCGAGCAGCAGATCCAAGGAGAAAGCTATGGAAGGAAGCTCAAGCACAGCAAGCAGCAATCGCAGAATCGGGCAAAACAACAATGTACATAAATGTAAACAGCAACAAAGTTAGCATTTATCGTGATTAGAGTCTGGTAGAGGTAACCAATCGTGATATCGCTGGCGACAGCATGTCCCTATCATGCTATAGAAAGCAAATGCACACATAAATCGCAGCTTCAGCAAGCCCTCAAATTGTGGCCATGACTTGTGGGAACTCTTGTAACAAACTGGCAGAGGCAGCAGCCAGAATCCCCGCAACAACCATAGCCCAGCAACAGCAGCCGTTTCAGCAAGAGAGGCAACAACGCAAAACCAGAAGTTAGCAGCACCAGCACTACTCAAGGTCATACCATTCAGTGAGGCCTCAAGCACTTCAGTGAGATGCTTGAAGCAGAACTTCAAAAGCTTAGTATAGTCGACGATCATGAGTCCGCTATGGCAGCACGCGACATTATCTCCCTGAGACTTAGCCTCCGGCAGGGAGCGAGGCGAGTTGCTCCGATGTGCCTTAGGCACGAAAATTGACAGTAGGGGCTCAGGGTTGTTTAGGGTTTAGGTCTGACAATTCAGCACGTGTGGATGATACGCACGGGGTATCCAGGGTGAAGGAGAAGCGAGCTAAGAGCATCGGCTCGTTGGTTAAGAGCAGGGCAGTGTGGTTGGGGGCACTCTCGTTCGGGGGTCTTCTGCCTGTTCAGGGATCGGGGTTGGGATTTTGGTAAATTCAGGAACTTGGAATGCCGGTCTTCGTGGCCGTAAGGGCGGAAGCTCGAACCACAATGCTTCGACGCGACAAGCCGGGTTTGAGGGGTTTCCGGGCTTCCAGCAGCTTCTTTAGGTCTAGGAGCTTGGGGAAACGCATCAGATCAGGAGTGACAGAAGTAATGTAGGGGCCTTAATATTTAGAATAGGTTTTGGGGCCCGCTATACTATAAGTATAGCAAGGAACCCCCAACATATTATACGTAATTCTTTCGGCCCCTATATTAACCTAATTTGCGGCAAGCAGTTGGTCAGGAATGTATATAGCCCTGTAGAAGCCAATGCCTCCAACCTTTCACCTTGCACTTTCAGTGCCACCCAGCATGTCAGGTTGGTGATCCTAGGAACATCCTGAAGCGTGCGCCCAAACGTCTGCACCATGGCTTGTGCGAGGATCCACATGTGGCCCCTCTCCCTCAAAAGCTGGCAAACCCTATATCATCCAAATGGTCCGAAAAAGCATAAAACCAAAAGTTTCCTAAATTCTTGTTGCAGCAGGCTTCTCTAAACCCTAAACTTGACCAAAAGAATGCTCAGGACAAATCTAGGACACCTGGCACCCCAGGGCCAATCCCTCGAATTGAACGATGCCTGCCAGGATCTAACATTGCCTTCCTAATCAACTTAACTATTCGGGTTTGGGGTAGGGTTTAGGGTTAGGTTCTAGCAACGTCAAGATTCGTAAGAGGAGTGTAAGGAGGAATCCACTTATCTTTTGCAGGTCGTTCGGCAGATCTTCGCTCGGCTCCTGGCGCGAGCCAGACGGGCGTGGCGCCGACTCTGCTCGTAGCTGCTTTTTTGGTCACGCCGGGAGTAGGTCGACCTCAGGTGATTACTGTTATTCGCACTACTACTGTTATTAGCATGATCACCCTTATTGCTAGGATGACCAGTACCAATGTCAGCATCACATTCATCATCGTTACTGCCACTGTCATTTAACAATGCTAATGTGAAAAGAAAATCTAGCCGCCGCCGGTTGCTAGCAGAGCCAATCGTGCACTAGGAACCCATAGCAAGCTTGCCGCAGACTTTCCGAGTTCGCCGTGCTCCAAGTGTTGGGTTTGGCCCTGGGACGCACATGCATTCAGCATTCATTCCACATCATGACACAGAAGCCCGTTAGAGTTCGGTATAGTAATGACGGAGGCACGACATGCAATCATAATCAAAATCATAATTTTCATGGGTTCCCAATGTGCATGTATCTCAGCACGACAAGTAGAATGATTGCGGTATCAAGAAGGGAGCTTATTTCCGCCACCTAGACCATCAAGTCGTTCACACAAAGAGTACGCCATCAGAATTCCTAAACCCCTGAATCTACACCCATCTCAACGAAAGCCATACTCAGTCAGACTCTTTGATCAGGACCCTGGAATCATCGCGTAACACCCCTACGAAACGCTGTTGAAACCCGCATCGAACCCCTAAAAAAACCAACCCTAAACCCTAAACTGCCTAAAACACCCCTAAACCCTAAACCTCCAAAAAAAAAAACAACCCTAAACCCTAAACCGCCCCCCAAAACAAACACCCCGGGGCAGCCGGCTTCTGGCTTTCCAGGCGCTTCAAGAGGCGCTGGTTCTCCAGATCTATCCGCTGCAACCTTGGAGGCTAGGGTTTAGGGTTTAGGGTTTAGGGTTTGGAGGCTTCTAGGTTTATGAGGGTTGAGGAATCAGGATTTAGGATTCAGGGGTTATTGATTATTTATTGCCATCGATTAGCAATATTTTGGGCTTTGGGGTTTTGGGGTTTGGGGGTTTTGGAGGCTTCTAGGTTTATGAGGGTTGAGGAAACAGGATTTAGGATTCCACGGTTTACGCTCTCACAACTCGGACAAGCCCAGGCGAGGTTCCGTAGGTTTGAGTCGGCGTGATACAGGCACAAGAACCTCTGAAGGGGTTAAAGTTAGACCCCACAGTCTCTTCAATAATGAACCTTTAAGTTAAAGGTTCATTATTGAAGAGACTTTGGGGTCTAAGATTTTTGAAGTGCAAGAGGTTCGAGGCGTACAGAGGATTTCGGTTAAAGTCGTAGGGTCTAGGGCGAAAAATTTAAATTGCTGGTGTCAGGGTTTCACCCAGGTTTAATTTTGAGGATAAGTTCGTTGTGAAAGGTTTCAAATGTTGGGTCGTTAAGGGTTGAAACGTTGCCATTTAGCTGTCCTCGCTTTCAGACCCAAGGGTGTAGGGTATAGCCCCAAATATGCATGTATGCAAAGACGTTGAACGCATGAATCTTCATAAGTAAGCGCACACGATCATCACCATTAACTACATATCACTACACACGTAAGCATGCGCACTTCTACACGTTCCCGAGACCCGTAGACACATATACACAAACACACACATGGCACATGCACACCAAGACAGAGCTGGAAACGCTCTGGCAATTTTGCGCAGATAGTAACCCGCACGTGCAAGTAGACAGGCGACGTGTCCAGCTAGCTCCTGAACTCTAAACCCTCAGCTCCATCAGAGACCCCGACTCCTTTCGCCGCTGGTTTGTATTCAGGCCTGAGCAGGCTTGAGGCAAGGTTTGCTCGTTTGGGTAGGCTGTCAAATAATAAGGCTCGCATCCAATAGTCCAATACCCGGAGAACTGCAAGGCAAGACACTATCTCCCAAACCATGAAAATACTTAGCAAAGTACCCTCTGAACTCGGCTGATAATCTCTCGAATCACGTCTTACACTGATGAATGTCGCCGCTTTTCAGAGTAGTTCATGGCAAGTGCAAGAACAGTGGGAACCTTAAAGCTCTGAAGAATAGGTTCCGTTGTGTAAACCTGGAACAAGGACCCTCATGCTGTTGCTGTGGCTTTTGTTGTTGTGGTTGTGGTGGTAGTTGTGGTTGTGGTTGTGGCTATGACTGTGGCTGTGGCTGGCGGCATTGGTGGTGATTGTAGTTGTCTTGTTGTCCCTGTTGCTGTTGTCGTCGGTTGTGGTTGTGATTGTTGTTGGCAGTGTTGCGGCGTAGGGGGCGTGCGATGAGCTGGGGGTGGGTGGGCCGGGGTCAACACAATGCTTTCTGTGTCGAAATTCGTGTACTTTTTTTAAGTCAGACGTTTAGGAAAAACAATGAGTTGGTCCGTTCAAATCAGCCCTTCCAGACATACAATGAGGTTACAAGTTACAAGAACGGTGTTGTTGACAAGCGTGTTTGTTCCTTCGGGCGTCCCTTCACGACAAACACGGACGCGACGAAGAACTGGGTTTGCAAAATTGGGATTTGTTTTTCAGACGCGTTGCATGTTTACTCTTTCCAGCCAGCCAGCCCTTCACGACAAGCGATGGGTTAGCAACATCTGGAGGTTTCCGAAAATAGGGGACCCTAATATAGTGCCCCAAGTAATAGGATCCTTAGTAGTATACGGGCCCCCCAAAATAAGGTACCCCCTTATGTTCGGAAACCCCCATCTTTTTCGACACCCTAAACCCTGAACCCTGAACCCTAAACCCTTAAACCCTAAACCCTAAACCCTGAAAAGGCATGCAGGAGGGTGAGGAGACCTGAGCCCTGTACCGACACTCCAGCTCTGGACGAGTGCAGACCCGGCCGAGGCGGGTAGTTAGACAGTCTCAAGCCTGTCAGAGCCCCTACAAAGCCCCAGTATTAAAAAAAAAAACTCAAGCAAACCTCAAACCCTAAATTCGACCCGATTCAGCCCTCGGGCATAGAACCCTCAATCAAACCCTAAACCCCCAACTCAGAGCCTCCTAAAACCCTCCCAAACCCTAAACCCTAAACCCTAAGCCTAAAACCCTAAAACCCTAAAACCCTAAAACCCTAAAAACCCTAAAGCCCTAAAGCCCTAAAACCCTCCTTGACCCCGGAAAATCTTTGCGGGCAGGGATTTGCAAAGTGGGAAGCCCAGTCGAGGCCTCGAGTGAGACATTCCAGGGCACAGAAGCACAGCCCCTGGGCTCCCTTCTTATGGAGGGCCCTAAGACTGAGCCTAGTGGTCTTATAGGGATTTGGTGCTTTTTTTTTTCCAAATTTTCGGGGCATGATTTATTGGACCCAAACTCACCCAGCAGGTCTTTCGAAGTGAGGAGTGTGGAACCCAGGGATCTGTTTTCTGTGCTTCGGTCTCTTCCTACACCGGTGAAACTGGTACCCCTCATGCAAGGGAACATATAGGGGTTGGATGGGGTTAGGGCTTTTAGGGAAACAAGGCCTAACTGCCTATCTCGTACTTGGAGTGGACTGCAGCGACTGGAACCCTAAACCGCGGCTCTTTGGTGCCTTTTCTGCTCTCCCCGGACAAGATCATGCATGTGTTCGCGGCCCCTCAGCCGTGGACCGCGTAGACCTCGCTAACATCAGGGCAAGAGGATCCAACCTGCTATACTCCCTGTGCACCAAACAAATTAAAGCTGAAGCTTACATAAACCAAATTATTGTTCCACGATGGCCCATGACAACTACACTTTGCTTGAGGGAAACAGAAGCTGGGACTGCATCGGTGCAAGAAGCTGCGGCACAGCAGCGAGCAGCAATTTGGAGTAGATAAACGGCACGAGCTTCTACCCTAAACCCTAAACCCTTTTTTTGAACCCAGGCTCTAAACCCTAAACCCTAAACCCCAAACCCTAAACCGAGATTCTTGTCAGGACTTTCACTCGTAGGGCCTCCTCCATCTGCCTTCCGCATTTGCACTTAGTTGTTAAGCGAACTCAACTCACTACAGCGACCAGCAGTTCAAACAAACGCGACTAAAGAAACCCAGCTTGCTTCAGAGGACTGCGCCAGACCGCAAGCCTCACCCATGGGCGCCCTGAAGCGACCGCTATGCTGCAAAGATCCGGGAGCTGAAACAAATCGTAGCCCCAAGCCCTAAAGCCTGAACCTAACTGCAGGCACTCACACGTCTGCGATGCCTGGGCCCCACTTCGCTGCGAAGGCACAGAGCGCCTATCAGGAGCTCACTCCAAGTAACCCCGACCGTCAACTCTAAGCCGCTGCAAAACCGTGTTACCTGGACCCTGAAAGCATGCAGAATAATAGCCCTTTATAGGCTTTGGGCCATTATTTCACCTATTTTTGGGGGTCTAGGTAGAAGTCTTAGCTATCGGTTGATAGGATTCGCAACAATCACGTTGCATTCAGGGTTTAATGTTTCTGCTTTGTGGTCTTCATGAACAGAAGGTCCCGGCGGCAACCTCTCGTTCAGCTCCTTTCCACGAGCACTCAACCATAGAAACGACATGATCAGAACCGATTGCGCACATACCGGACATCCTTCTGAATAAGGACCAGGCATAAGGACGCCAACATCCCTTCTTATGCAAGGAACCCTTCTTTAGGAACACTAGTAGAGTGGAAAGAAAGTTTTTTAATAGCTCAGGGATCTGAAAGTTTTGTCTCTGTCCATAACTCTCTTGGTGGATAGGTTCCGCAATGTGTGGCCTGCTTCCTGTCTGCAGTTACTCAGCAGTGCAGAACACCTCGGAATCAGGTGATCCCGACTGAATCTGCACATGCTGGGCTTGGTGTGAAGCTGTAACATCAGAAACACTGCGTGGACGAACTGGAAACGTCGCAATGAACATCTACAAACCTGCAATGCGACAGCATAATGCACCCCAGCCCGAGTATATACCCCTAAACCCCTAAACCTGCTTCTTGACCAGGCCCACTGTGCTCGGAGGTCCGAGAATACAACCAAACAAGCAAGGCCTCGAACTTGCCACGGATCGAGCATCGTCCTGTGCTTTTTGCGGAGCTTTAGACTCTGAGTAGTTCTCCGAACCACCGCGACGACAGCAAGGAACATGTCAAAGCAATGTGATGGTTGTTTTGATGATCGTGACGATGTAACTGGCCGGTGATTGAAAGTGAGGGCGGGGGCCGCGGGTATCATGACCACTACGCAGTGGTGGTGGTGATCCTGATGCCATGCTGCTGCTGGGGGAAGATGACAACAGTTGGTGCTATTCTTCGAATCAACGAGAACCGCTTCATCTGTACGCTCTTGTTTTTGCTATGAACTATGCTGCCTTATCTCCCTCTGCGTTCATTACCACTGGTACTTTCCAACCGTAGCCTCAATATGCCTGGGTTGAGGGCTTGGGCTGGGCGGGGGCTTAAGACCGACGAAGGACTCGGATAAAGGTGGTAGCAATAATTATGTTGGATGAACCTAGCAACACAAGCGACAGCTATCAAAACAATAATCGGCAGGGCCAATCAAACTATCGAGCGAGCAACGGAGGTACGCAGCGCAAGTTGACTTCCTCCTCAGATGCTAGAAGCCCGAGAGCCAGCCGTCATTTCTCAAAGGCCTAAACAACAGCCCTGAAGCAAGTGGGAACTGTTCTGCATGAAAGTTCAGTTCCTCATCCTCTCAAAGCCACTCCCGGAAGCCCTAAACCGACACAAACATCACAAACTTGCATTTCCGTCCATAAAAACCCCTAAGCCTCAACGTTGACTCCCTCGCACCTCGAGATGCAGGGAGGGCATCGAAGCGGAACCCAGAACGCCATGAGCAGCTGCCTCGGGCAGGAAACTTTTCGGGCCTCTGGTTGGGGGCACTCTAAACCCCTAAAACCGTTTAGGAGTTAGGGTTTGGGGATTAGGGTTGAGGGTTTAGGACGACCTCTCGACAGAGTCAGGCGATGTGTCAAGGCAAGACAGATGCCACACTCTCTGGGGCTCTAGGGCGGTTCATGAAAGGCTTCAAGCTTGCGGGGCGACTTGTAACGTAGGGGCCTTAATAATTAGAATAGGGTTTTGGGCTCCTATAGAGTATATCCACAATAAGGAACCCTACCAGTATGAGATTGGTAATCATTTAGGCTTCCATAGTAGGATCTGTGGATTTGTCGGAGATTCGGGATGTCGGGTAGTTTGTCGTTTCTTCAGGCTTTGGGAGTCTTAGTCATCTCGGCCTCTTGGGGGCTTTGAGGGTTTTTAGTCCTAGGCATAATATGATAAGCACCGTACAATCTGTCATGATATGACGATATGATGGAAAAAAACCTACAGTAGTATGATGTATAACATGACACCATCAATAATTTCATTTGGTCATAGGGCTTCGGGCCGCAGAGGCTTCAACGCGCAGTGGGCTGTCAGGTTTTTCAAAAAGGAACGCAGGTTTGGGGTGTGGGACCCTCAACTAAGGGTTTAGGGTTTAGGGTTGGCCCTCAACCCTCAACACCACCCCACAGGCCTCTAAAACCAAGCAAAGAACTTAACATTCTATAGCTGACTGCAAAGACTCACAAGAGCGTCTTTCTCCAAGAATCCTCAAACCTGAAGGGGACACGGAGCTGCCCGCTTGTCTTATGTGGCCCGGGGTATGTTATGCTCTGCCTCGGGTGCCTTCGGAGGGTTGAAGAGGCTCGCCGTTCGCCCACTTTTCCGCACAAATAAGGATAAGCTCATGGGCTGCCTGGCGACTTCTTCGTGCGCCGGCGCTTCACCGGTGGCTCCTGCCAAAGGGCGAGATTCCGTGAGGACGTGCACAGCCTCGGCGTGATGTCGAACAGCCTTCCCTCGTCGTCCATACGCATCGCAGTTGGGAGGTCGTTGCAGTGGCACTCCTCCGTGAACGGACTGTGTCGCGTGGGTGGCAGCCTGAAGCCCAGCTCTTCCAGGTAGCTCCGTGCCTCCACAGGGCACGAAGTATGCCTCGTCGAGCAGAAGAACACGAGGCTAAAGCGATCGCCTCCTTCGAAGGGCCGCACAAAGTGCATCGCCCTCCCGTCGAAACGCGCCCAGCAGTTCTGCACGTTGACAAAGCGGCCCATGCAGATCTCGCCCTGGCCACATGCGAATGTCACTATAATCAATGCTGTCAATGCTTCTCACGACTGCATACATGGAATAGTGTGCTGTTGTATCAGCTTATGTTGTTAGTACGACTGCCCTTTTTGGATCGAACGCCAATGCATGGTACAAGTGACAACTGTTGCACACAAACACACGTTTGCACAGCAAATGTTCAGAACGCTCAACCCAAGAACACCTTGTCCACCGCAGTGGGTTTGCTGAACGGAATTTGCCTTGAAGCCCAAATCCCAAACAACCTAAATCCCTTGACCCTAGGCCTTAGCAAGAAAACCCAAAGCATCATTTCAAGGCTTCCGAAGGCTGAACATCCTACGATTGTCTTTCCTTTCTTCTGTTTTCGAAGATTGAATTTACAAAGTAGCCTAAACCCTAAACCCTGAAGCCTATTCGCAATGGGAATCTCTCACCACCTTGAGGCCCCTAGACCGTTTTGCTGCATGCAAGCAAGGCCTGGTAAGTAGTTTAGGGGCCTAAAACCCTACATGAACCCAAAATCTTGCCCCCTACATGAGGCTCTCAGCTTGTATCAACCCTGCCAAATTGCACGTCCGGAAGGCTGAAACACCGTTAAACTTTCAAGACCTCCAGTCCTTACTCCGCACGGCTTGACCATGAGTACAGTCTCACAGCTTACAGACGCTCTCAACCGAAAAACTTCCAAACTGCTTAGATACCCACTGCCAAAACATCTATTCAGGATTATTCAGGTATCAGTGTCTAGACAAGTATGTCCAAATCTGCAAAAGGAAAGCGAACTTCCGATGAGCGATACTTATGATACTTTGCATTAGGGCCTGTGTTTAAGCAGGAAGTTCCAATGGCACGCGACCCAGCCTTGCGATACCGAGGCGGAATGTCATGCTCTAGGACGTGCTTCTCGGAGCCGAACGCCGATTCGACGAAAAGTTCACCGCCAAAGCTCCAGTCACCCACTGCGGTGATCCAGCTGGGGCCGAGATTGTTGCCATCTACGTGGGGCCGGGCCGCGTAGTTTCGGTTCAGCTGGATGCTTGTGCATGCCAGCGCTTGGCAGCCCGGGATGCGGCCCACCGCATGCTCCTGGCGAAGATGCTGCTTCCAGAAGCGCAGCAGCATCCGACACAGCCCGGGATATAGTCGCGTGCTACGCGAGGGCAAGGGCATGCCTGCGGTACTGGCGCACGAGACTAGGCCAAGAGTCAAGGAATCGATCGTCTCGACGCCGTCAGGGCGGACATTGGCCCTCCCTGTGTTTTTCCAGTGCTTGTCCGGAATTCTTCTGAGAGCTTCCAGCACCTGACTGGCCGAAATTGGCATCGCCGGCTCCGGGCAGGAATCATGTCGGGACGGCTTTATGAAAGAGTGGCTCGAAAGGTATCGGACGCTGAACATCCGGCGCCCAGCCTCCTCCTCGCTCCCATCGCTCATGGCGAAAAGCTCCCCTCCTTCTTCCACCACCATGGCCATGGCGCTCTAGGAAGAAGAAGGCAGGTACTGCTTACATACGCACTATCAGTCTACTTTCAGCTTCAGGGCTTCGGTTGTGGAGATCCCTATTATGAGCTATGCCGGCTTCATAGCGAATTGGCGGGTGGTAGGCTACGTGGTTACTGTCTCCCTGTGATGCACTTGCGGTTTTACGGGCTGCAGGACGTAGTTGCTTATCCACTCTTGCAATGTCAAGTATTATTTTGCCTACTTCCCAATTGATTCAGGGTTTGCTGGCTCTTCTTGGAGACCTTGGAACAAAGAGAAACTTGTTTCTCGCTACCAAAATACTCGGCTAAAACTATATAAGAAACACTATTCACAAGAGCACGGTAGTTTTGTGCGCGGAGTAGGCCCGCCGTTTACCAGCCGGCTGCATGCCCCATTTAACCCTAAACCCTAAAACCCTAAACCCTTCAGGGTTTAGGGTTCCGCGATGCTCGAGCCACCGGGGCTGAGTTGCTCGAGCAGCTTCGCACATGGAGGGCTTGGCGATTCTTCGGTGAGTTAGGCCTCTCTGCGCGTTTTTTGGCGAAGGGGTCCCCCTAAACCCTAAACTAGGTTCCTGCATCTTCAGGTAGGGTCGATGCAGGGATGCGGATTCTTCACCCACGAATCGGAAGCTTGTGTATATATATATATATAGATATGTATGTGTAATGGCTATTAACTGTTGTACTTACCACATTTTATTGCATATGTCTGGTACTGTCAAGGAACGGGTGAAAACACAAGGGCCGTGGAAGGTAGTGCAAAAATCGTGAACCGCACAAAGCCTAGCACTCTAAGCTCTAGAATTTCACTTCTGCCTCCTGAATCCCCTGGACCTACCCCCTCTGAAGCTCCGGAACAGGCAAACCGAAAATAACCCTAAACCCTAAACCCTAAACCCTAAACCCTAAACCCTAACGCAGTGGGCTGAGCCTAGCTGAAGCCCTGCCTTCTCTAGAGGCCTCAATAACTACTAGGGTTTAGGGTTACCTATAGTCTCCATCGTAGTTCCTTTTTGGTTTAACCAGATATATATTAACGAGTTTATAAGGTATCCCCAAGGAACTACAATGGAGACTATAGGTAGGGTTAGTAAATCTATACAGGGACTAGCTATTTGCGGCGATGATACTGAAGTGGATCGGTGGCTGCGAGGTCGAACCTCAAAGGCCATAGTGGAGCTGTTCGCCTCGACGGAATACGCAGACTCCGAAGCTGCAACCACGACTCGAGGGAGATCTAGATTTAACAGGGCCGTAGGGCCAAGATGGGTATAACTCTGGGCTGAGACTGATCACTTAGCCAGGGAGCATGGTGCTTCGTTCGTTTCGTTACAACCCTGCGCAGCACAACGATGTTCCTCATCAGGCGGTCTATGATGCCATTCAGTTTTGTCCCTGCCACAGGCCTGTGTTCTAAAACCCTCCAGCTTGCAAGGCCTTGCACGGTTCTTAAGCCAGCCGGGGAAGCATGCTAGAGAACCATAGCCTTCGGCTGAGCTGTTGGTTTTGACATTCGCAATGAAGGGGGTCAGGTGCTTAGACTGCCACATTCAGGTAGGGATGGCTGAATTTCCATTCTTGTCTTTTACATTCCCTGCATCGAAGCCAAGATGCATCAGGCGAAAGTCGAGAATGTGTAAGCATGTGAACAGCGACTTCTAGAGCATGGGGTGTTCAATACTTCCTGTGCCTGACAAACTAAGCAAGAAGGCTTCTGTGGAACAGCTGAGAGGTGTCTCCATCACGGAAGAGTCGGACACTACCACGTGAGGGAAGGGTCTGACACTTATGGATATGGAGTTGCAGTGGCCGGAGATTGGGATGCCAAAGCGGACCTCTAACAAAAATGGAGGCTCGGGCATGCATTGTGGCATCTAGACCACATCTGATACCTGTCCCCGAGTGTGGGCGTCCTTCACTGCATTCGTCATCGGCTTGGCCACGTTGTGGTGAAAGCTACACCTCACAGAACTCTTGCTGTCTGCGACCGTCAAAATTGATGTGTTCAGAACTGGGTGCTTTACTTTGACATTTAGAGAGCAGGTTGTGATTATTACTCTGCTTTGTTGTTTGCATTGCTTGTCCTGGTATGGTTGCGGACAGTACTAACTAAAACCGAGGGCTAGTGTTGTGCACAGCAATGCTGTTCAAGACTTTGCTAGACAACGGTTGCCAAAACCCTAAACTCTAAACCTCTCTGAGTGTTCTAGATGCATTCTCGTTCGCTCTCTGACTATTCGGACTACTAACACTCTCAAAACATCTCGAAAATATAACACCATGGACCTCCAAACCACTAGTTGGTTAGAAGCAGGGCTTTAAGCACTCCAGTTGCAGTTGCTTCTAGCGATATCTCTTGTTGCCGTTCCCCTAGGCCTACCTATCACTGACTTTTGAACCCGGCGCTTGAACACATGCCTGGCATAGCACCCTGCCGCCTTTCTACTTAATAGCCGTCGTAAACTAGCAAGAATCAGAGCTATGGTTTAAGTGTTCAGGGTTGAGAATTCACAAGCTTGTACTCCTGCCTTAAGCTCTGCTTCCGCATGGTCATGATTTCTGCGATCGAGCAGCTTGCCAGCAGCAGCACTCTTCGTGTGATGGAGGACCTGCGTGGCAAGCATCTGACACACTGTGTGAAAAAAAACTGATGCACTCTTGAGACCCTCCTCGCCACACAGGCCACGAAACCGTGAAGGGCACCAATAACACCAATATGTACTGCGAGCATGCCTGAACCCTAACCTCTTACCTCAACTGCCGAAGCCCCAAACCTTGGCAGGATCGAAACTTCTGGCAGATTCTCTCTGATCTCGCTGACTTTGACCCGTCGCTGGGCCCATGGAACCGTGGCGCGAACCCAGCCTGTTGCCTGAAACCATGTAGCTCCAAGCGACGTGTGAAAATCAGACTTGGGTTGGGCTGTAAAACTCCACACTTGAGACCTAGGGTTTAGCGCTTGATATCGCAGTTTAGTCCCGAAGCGGGAGCCCACCAAATCTAGAACCCTCAGCACTGCACCTGCCATGTTCTCCCCAGGAAGTCATTCGACGTGGTGTTCAGGTACGCGTAGCTGGCCTGCGGGGGGCTCGGTCGCCAAGACTGGACATGAAGGACAGTTCTGCAGGCATGATGGCCTATTGGTACAATTACCAGAAAGCTCAACTGCGTTTGCTTCTGAGCGGGCTGGGGCATGCTGGAGTCTACCCTTCTTACATCGCACAAGTAGGGCAAGGTTCAGGGTTTGATTTCGGACATCTCGTTGGCAGCGACTCTGCGCTGGAAGGAGGCCTGAAAATGCTTCGCTGAACACATCAAAGCCATACAGCAGCAATGCAGCAAGAGCACTGCATCAGTTGAAAAATGAACTGATGTCGATGCGTAGAAGTAGTAGTAGCAGGAGGAGGAGGAGCAGCAGCAGCAGCAGCAGCAGGAGTAGTAGTAGTAGTAGTAGTAGTAGTAGTAGTAGTACTAGTGGCAGTAGTAGTTGTTGCAGTTGTCGCAGTTGTCGTAGTCGTAGTCGTAGTAG